GGGGAGGAACAACAGGCAGTTTGTAAGTAAGCAGGCAACTATTTTCGAAGAAATACCCGTACAAATTTTCACAATTAATATGCACTTCCTGTGCAGACGACTTGCAAACCATTTTCTGAGTGCAGCCAGGCAACAAGACTTGCACTAACAGCAACAACAACAACAACAATAGTAGCAAAACAATGCAGTGGGTGGTCGGGATGGCTTTCTGGCATTCTTTAAGACCGACACACACACACAAACATACAAACACACATGCTCTCAACCCGCTCGTATTCACATGTGAGTTCATTGCTGCCATTAATGAATACGTGTGCAGCAATAAAGCCATTTTTTATGTGCAAAAGTCACGTGAGAAACAATTTAGTACAGTTAAGTCACACGACGGTCTCAAAAGGTTATGGGGCAGGGCAGTGAGGGGGTGGAGGGGTGAAGATACCGACGAAGACGAGACCGGTGCAACTTTGTGCCTGGCACAGTCAAAAGAAACCCAACTTTATTTTAACATAAATATTACACATGTGCCTGTGTGTGTGTGGGTGTATGTTGTGTGTGCATGTGTGTGTCATGTTTGTTCCAGCCGAAACTGGTATCCCAGCTAAAAAGTGAAAATATCTCAACCACATGCACAGATTAAAACTGACGGCATTTTGTGAGCTAGTAGCTGAATTAATTTTTTTACCGTTTATCAACTGGGCAAATTGAAATCGTGTTGCTTGGAATACACACACGCACACACACACACACCTTCTCTTTGTGTGTTTATGTGTGTGCCATTCTTAACCCACTTTTTTCTCTTTGGTTAAAATTGATGTGAACATTCGGCGCAGTCGAAACAACTTTTGGAGCACTTCTTTGCCGCTGGCCTAGTGTTAAACAAAATGCATGGCAATAGCCTCAGAGGGAAAGTTGGTGCCTGTAGTACCAGCAGTGACTTTTTGACAAGTACATTTTCTTTTTTACTTTCACAGTTTCTGGTAGCACATCAACTAATTGATTTTCAAGTGGAACTGTAACTTTTGTTACGACTGGCAAACTTTGGAACTATTTCTGACACTAGAAAATGCTAATTAGCTAATACATATTTAATTGGAAATATTTTTCGCTTAGAGCAGCAGTTTGAGTAATGCGTTAAAAATAACTACCATAAAATATCTGAAATAAATACTTAGACTTTGACTTCAACTTAGAGTACTAGCCAGAAGTAGATGCAAGATCTTAGGCAAATATAGGGAAATTCATTTTGAATTTGTGCAAGTGTTGATTTAAGAGAAGAGGACTCAATGTTATCAACTTGGATCGTATCAATAAATATTCAAATTATGTTCATACTAACGAAATCTTCGGTTCAATCCAATTTTCAACTTGAGCTACATTTTGTTATTTGAATGCTTATTCATAATATAGCAATTCTTTTCTTCAGCTTCTTTCATTTGTAGTACAAATATCTTTCATTGAGTTGATATTATTTTTCATATCCATCCATCACTACATAAAAAGTCTTGTATTATATACTTCATTTATACTTTCCCGGTATCCATTCCAATTATCATGAGTTTTATATTGTTGCTCTGTGCGAATGCGGATTGTGTGATTTCAATAACTTCCCATGTACATTTATATTTGCCTCAACAATATTATGAAAAGTAAATACAATGGATAACTGAAAACACAAAAAAAAAACAAGGAAAAGAAAACTGAAACATGCTCTGTGTCATTTCGACTTGTAATTGTGTAATATGGCTGGAATGGTTTAAAGCCGCTTGCTGTTAAGCTGGTTGATAATTAAAATAACGGAAGCAAATTGCACGTGGTAAAACATGAAGTGAAATAACATGTTATTGCACTTTTCCTTAAATGAATTCCATGCTATTTGGCATCAGCTTTCAGCCGGTTTCAGTGCATTCTTCACACCATCTGCCCTCTCGCTCTTCCACTCGCCCAGATGATAATTACCAGACGCTGATGAAGTCGACGCATTTGTGGTCGCCTTTCACACAGAGAGACATCCTGTCGTCCTGACCCATTTCGCACTGATTCACATAAAATGCAATTTAAGACCACCGAAATAATTAAAAAAATAAAAGCACAAAGAAAGAGAGAGACACACACACTCACACAGCTACATGCCTATAACAGCATTCATTGGAAGCAAATCAAAGGCAACTCTGATCATGCGTGCAACTGTTGCAACTGCTGCTTCCAGGTGCAAGCTGCCTGTTGCCTGTTGTCTTCCACTGTCCACCCCCGGGCACCGTTAAATGGCGTTGCGGTTAATGAAATTGTCTCGTCTCGTCTCGACGAGGCTGTCGACTGCCCACTGACATATCAGTTGATGGCACGACAGTGTGGCAACATTGCTTCCATTTCTCTTTCTCTTTCACCGTACGTCATCTTGGTTGCCGCCTCTGTCTGCAGCACCTGACGGACTTTGAAGCGCAAAAGCCAAAAACGTTTATACCACATTGCACTAAACTAAGCAAAGTCAAAAGCGTCATGTTTCTCCAAGACCCCCTTTGCCCCATTTCTTGCATGTCCGCCATGCTCGCTTTGTGATAGCAGTTGATGCAACGCACGCGTCTCAATTTGACATGCTCTGAAAACAGATATTGCAGCTTAAGAGGAAAGTTCAACTTTGAGTTTGACTTTAAGCAATATGTTAAATAAAAGATAGAATAAAATAAAATTATAATAGAAGCTCAAGAGTTAATAAAGAAACCATATTTTACTATTGAAAAAGAAATAGAGGAATTACAAGTAAATCGTAATAAGTTAGCCACTCCAAAAATAAAAACTAGAAACTAATAGAAGGCGTACAAATTGAATGTCTTCAACACAGGTTCATCTTCACTTTATATCAACTTTCGCCTTCTTGTTGGGCCTCTGTGTGGGGCAGAGATGGTGATGTTGCTGTGGCAAGCTTTTAGTTGCTTAGGCTCTTGGGTTCTTGGGCTGGTCGTAAAAAACGTTTGCGCAATGTCAACAAATTTGCGCGCTTATTAGATTTTCGTGGTTGCACACAATTTCGCCAACTAAGACCGCCGCAGAAAGATAAAGTGCAACAGCAGCAGCTGCAGCAGCAGCAGCAGCAGCAGCAGCAGCGGCAGCGGTGGCAAAATATGAATAAAATAGCGAAAACTTTTGCCAAACGGAAGTGCTTGCTGCGTTTTGGCTTCGGTTGACCAGCAGCAACGCCCTCTGGCATTCGCACACACAGACACACACACACACCACGCCCCTTAGCTATGACCACGCCCACAATTCCAACGGTCACGGTCGCCGCTTCTGCTAATGAGTTTTGTTGTCAGTTCTTTGCTGGCTCATGCACAAATTGGGCAACGGCTGCTGCGACCTTCCCCCTCCACCCAGCTCAGGGCAGCTGCGTTTTACATGAATTGCATGAGAAATTTTTGCGCACAATTTTTGCATGTGTTGGTGTGTTTCCATGTCTGTGTGTGAGTGTGGTAAGTTAATATTTGCTGCATAAATTCCAGCGCTTTGGCATTTGCTACGCTTCGTTTTGCTCCTTTTGCGCTTTTGTCGTGGCTCTTTTTTTTTTTTTGTTATGCACAAATTATGAAAATGCAGACATACTCATTTACTCCCTCCTCCCACACACACACACACACACACCGTCCCCTCCTCTCCCTCACCAATAATAACAACAACAACAATGGTCAGTCTAACCACGGCAGCATACAAAATAATATTAATTATGTTTTGCATTTTCAAGCTTTGCATTTTTGCCTTTCGAATTTTCTTTGAATCTGAGTTTGTGCAGACATTGGCTAATTTACTTTCAGCATACATTTTTTGGCTTAATATAAAACGTTAAATTTTAATTTTGTAATTAAAAACAAGAATTTACTTGCGCAAATGACAAATTAATTTAGCTGAGCTGCTGCCTTATTGGGAGGATTTTTGGGTATGTTTCTTTGTGGCTTTAGCGATGCAAAAGTTTATTTGGTGTTTTCTTGAGTGTGAGTACAAATATGAGAAACTTATTTTAGTTTATTGCTTGGAAACCTATTTGTATGTTGATCGTTCTAGATCAAACCAATTGCAGCCGATCGTCGAATTAGACGAATTACTGAAATATTGCTGGATCAAGATCGATGCAACTGTCGCTTTTAAAATGAATTAAAAAGTTTGCGGAGAGCGTTTTACAATTTACCACGCACACAAACACTCAGCCAAACTGCTCTAATTAGTAATCCCAACAGTCCAAAAGCCGCACTCAAACACGCTCAAAGCCGTGAATAGTTCAAACATGTTTTAATACAAACAAAAGCAGCAAAACTCTTGTTTTTTGCTGTTGTTTTAGTAGTAGTTGTAGCTGTTCAGCATGGACTGCAAACAAAAATGCTGAAAATTATCCGCTTAATCGTAACCAAACCAATTCTCTATGTATCTGTGTGTAGGTGTGTGTGTGTGTGTGTGTGTGTGTGTGTGTGTGTGTGTATGTGTGTGTGTGTGTGTGTATGTGTGTGTGTGTTTGCTGCGTTTGCAAAACAAACAAAAATGCGATGCGCACACAAATATGACACTGAATTGTTTGGCTCGCGGACAGAAACAATTCAAATGCAATTGGACTGAAATGGACAGCAATACACAGAAAGAGAGAGCGAGAGAGCGAGAGAGAGAGAGAGAAAGGGAAAGAGAGAGCGAGTGTGCGAGCGACAGTTTCAAATTGCATTTCACACATTTACGGTATCCAAAAACCCCACTCAACTTCACTCAATCCCCGCACCCGTCCCCGCCCCTCACACTGTCATTTTGATGTCTGGCAAATGCAAACAATGAATTCGATGAGCTGCACTTTGAATTTACATTGTAAATTTGTGAGTGATTTTTATTGTTTTTGCGCAGTCGACCCCATAAATTGGTTGACATTTTGTGTGTGGCTGCGAATGGAGCTAATGACTTGCACCAAAAAAAAACACCAGTAGCCAGAAAAAAATAAATACATCTATATATATACATATACACATAGGTATACATTTTTTTTATTTATTTGGTTATATAATTTTGTCGCTTTATTTTTAAATGGAATTAGCTATGTACATATTTAAGTAATGTGCGAGTGTGTGTTTGCATAGCGGCACTTGTCATTTAAATATCCCAAGCGAAAAGTTGATATATGTTTGTGTGTGTATGTTTGTCTATCGGATTTGCTCACACAAACCTACACTGCACTACACAAAAGTTGGAAAACTAAAGTTTGGCATAGTTGCCTGCTGCTCATTTAAAATATTATGGTGTACATTGGTATGACAACTGAAAATTATTTTCCCACAGCAATTGGAAATTGATGTCACCAATGCTCAGCTGCATTTCCCCATTTGACCGATGCAACTTAGTGTCCCCGTAGGCGACTCTATGGCGATAGAGTACGGGCAAGATGAGTGAAATTACCTTCCGGGTGTGACTCGGCTGCGTGGACAACAAAACGTAAACATAACCCATAGGAAATATGGCCACTTTGCTGCAATGTTCATAGAACTCATACACGAGATATGGAAGCGATTCCGGATTATAAAAACAATTGATACGATGTGCCACATAGATCCCATTCAGATCAATTGCAAATGGCATAGAAAATGTGGCATTTACCACATTATGGATGGGCTGTTGCAGCAACGGTAAATAGCCCAAATTCTCGATGATAGCCATAAAATGTTGGACCCCGGCAGCGGCACCACCATAATTATATCCCTGACACGAGACATAACCACTATTGTATACCTTTAGGCTGCACGCGGGCTTCGAGAGGCGCACAATGAGTGCTGAGGATATTTGGGGCTCGTAGCGCGTATTCCAGAGATGTTTACTTAATTGCTTCAGATCCAGCGAGCAACCAATTCTCAAGTGGCACACAAAGGGTCTGCATAATAAATATATATATATATATATGTGTGTATATGTTACATATATCTGCTAAGTCTGCTCTAACTTACCGATATAGCATGTGCAAATACTTCTCGATAGCACAAAGTTTGGAGACATCCTTATAAATGCTCATCACATCGGAATCCGTTATAACGGTTATAATCTTCAGATCCTTAAATGTTGACTGCTTTGCTTTGATTGCATCTCGTTTGTGCATTTTGCGCAACTGTTGTGTAGTTTTGCAATTTTTATAGCAATGCTCAGCCGCCATCAGTTTATCATTCACCAATTTCTCAATTGACAATTTGATTTCTTGTATCAGTGTGACCAACTATTTGATGGAACATGTGTTTTGTTCCTCATCTCAATCGATTCTCTCGCTGAAGAGACTTCGATCAACTTGATATTGATATCGATGGTTAAAATTAAATCGAAATAGAAGCAAAATCTAATTGAAGTGCCCTTTTTTTAGACTTGAATATTATATAATCAAATTTAAATATATTTAATTTTAAAAATGATCAAAATCACCTTCGGATTATTCCTACTAATAAAAAACATGAATCACTTATAATGTTGTTATCGAAATTCAAGAGTAATTCGATAACTACTACTTTCTAATTGGAAACTAGCTCTCAGCTGCAATTCAAAACTTATTAAACTCCCTTAGGATTTTCAGCTAATTCACAAATTAATGCAAAAGTTACTCCTTGAATTAAATGTAAATTTAACTCTCATTTATATGCAAATTGGTCATAAGTTATAGCCGCTATAATCGACAAAATAAACGCCCAAAGTCAGCCAAAAACTTTTGAAAAACTAACCCATGCCGCTGCTGCCGTCAAAACCAAACAATCAAAATATCATTTAAATTCAAATCGCAAAAATTGCATAATTGAAACGCCATTGAAGTCCATTAATAACTTTATTATGCAGCCAATGAAATGCAAATACACCCACACACACATATAAATAAACACTCCCACACACACACACACACACACACACACAGAAAGAGCACTCATCTTTGTAATGGGGAAGGGAGGGAGGAAGGTAGGGAGATGGTGCAGGTGGCTGATGTTAGCTCATCAAACCCGAAAAACCACTTTGCTCAACTCTTTTCAAAGTGCATACATCATCAACGCTAAGCCAAAACAAAAAAAAAAAAAAAGGTGGCTCAAAAGTATGATGAAGGTGGGTGGGTGTTGGGTGGTGGCTGGGTGGTTTGGCTGATGAATGCTGGCAGCGGGCGATGAAAACTTTTGTGCAATGTTGATTTTTCCGCAAGACTCGGTTTTTTTGCTGCCATCGCTGGACGGCGAGACGATCGAAGGTGGGTGGCATTCATGAGGAGTTGGGGGAGGGATTGCCCCAAGCACTTTGCCAACAAAAACCCACATCTCAGGCAAAAGTCTTTCAATAATAAAAATATTGAGACACAATAAGAACAACAAAAACACAGAAAGAACAGTGAAATGCCGAGTGAAAGTGCACAGCAGATGAAGAGCTAACCAAGCAGCATGGATCAATGCAAATGCAATTTAAAAATGCCAAATCCACAAACATCTGCAGTATTCCTTTAACTCAATATTAAGCTGGCTTTTAACCAAACTGAGATATATATCAAATCAATTTAGGAAACTGTAAATTTAGCTCTGTGTCTGCGTAATATGTAATTTAGTTAATTATTTATTTATTTAGTTAATGTAATCAAAAAATAGTACGCATCAAGTGGGAAAAGTTATTAAAACTGGGGACTACATATATTTTCGATCTAGACACAGATTATTAATTTATAGACATTTTTTTCAAATATTTATATGTGTTTGGTATACGAAAACTTGTACTAGATGTCTTTTGATCTTGTTTTTATTTAAATTTAACTCTCTATCTATTTTGGTTTAAAATATCGACCAAAAGTGAATTTAAAACGTGTCAAATTTTAACCGCCTTAAATAAAGCTGTTACACCTCAAGTCCCTCGGCTGCCACGCCCCATTGTGCTTTAATAATGTTTGTTGCCCCGTTGCCTTTTGACGCTAATGTTGATGTCGCTGATGACGGCAAACAAAACAATGGAATCAAAGCCGTTTAATGGCTTTTGTGTGTAAAATGAATGAATGCGACAATGTTTCCGGCATTCATTTGCGGCATCATTTGCTTTGTGCCACCAAAAAGAACAGCGCCCAACTCCTGCACATACAACAACCCATTAGCTTTTACAGGTTAAGGGGCAAGCAGTTGTTGTTGTTGTTTCTGGTGTTATTGCAAGTGTGTATACACACACTCATTCAATAGGTAGAAACAGTTGCATACGCTAATCGATAAAAGGGGATGCTGGTAGCACACAGCACCAGCCCTTCACCCGTCAAGGATGCTGCATGTGACTACAAGTACAACGCCAGTGGCATTATTGGTTACCAAGTTACCAACTTGCCACAACGTTGCTGCCACCAGCACAATGCGGGAGATGTGTGTGAGTTTGTAAGAGTGACAATTAAATGAATGTGCGTCTGATATGTACTGAAAATCTTACATTTCAACAATTTTGAGTTACATTTGAGTCTGATGCAAAACTATATTTGATAAAAATTTAATATTTTTGTCATATAACAACATTTATCTTTGTTAAATAACTGCTGAATAGATTTCTATTTAAGTTTGTTGGCAAAATATTATCAATTAACACGCTCACTGAATACTTACACGATATATATTTATTTTTTTTATGTTTTAGTGCAAAACAAAATAAGTAATAAACTTTTGCGTCGAAATCAACGATTTAGTCAGTCTTCAGATCTTCAGCAATAGTTAGATAGAAGATAAGCAAAATGATCTTATCTTCAAAGTTAATTAGTTTAAGCCTGATGGAAGAATTTATACTTCAAATTCAGCAGCATTTGTCTTTCATCAGCTTATGCCGAATGAAAAATAAATACAAAAGATAATGTCTCCGATCGCATAATGTATAAATACTCACAATCTATCTTTCTCCCTTGTTATATACAAAATTGAGCAGACTTTCGTTTAACTGGTGTACAAATATTTCTTTATTTGTTTATTTCGTTAGATTTATTTTTTGCTGTCGAGTTAAATATCTGTTGAGTCGCGCCAGCAAATCGAATGCCAATGCTAAATATACTCGGCTAATTAGGCGATCAAGAGCCATGCCCGAAAAACTCATTAGGGGTGGGAGGCAACAAGCGAAGTAGGGACGAGGGGGTTGGAATGTTCTGGCGTGAAAATCAATAGCTCTATTATTGTGGCAGAGAATGACGCGACTCGACGCGTTGATTGACAGCCTAATTGAGGCTTCTGACTTCTTTAACTTTTTGGGGCCAATGACCGCTTTACTGATTGTGCCAATAATAATATTGTAATAACGGAAAAGGAAGAACAAGAACAGCAACAACAATGGCAACACTGGCAACCCTTGACACCCCCTTCAGATATTAAATATTTACCAAAGCCTCACACTTGGCTTGTGGCGTGAGTGGCTTCCGTTTGAATTTTTTATTGATTGAACTGTTAATGTCAATTGCTGTGCAAATACTAATCAAACGCTTGGTTTACGCAATTAAGCAGCAAACACAATCCCCAAAACGCCAACAACACACACACACACACACACATACACACACTCTGTCACGCCCAGCTGTGGCATGTAAAGTTCTAAATTAGCATTTACATTGCGTGCAACACAGTGCAAGACATTAAATTAAAGCCAGCACGAAAGTAGATGCCAAACTCGCACCTATCCCCCACCTCCACTGCCACCCAACCTTTCAACACCCCGCAATACGTAAATTTTTGGGCAAGCAATCGTCATGGTTAAAAGCCGTCTAAAATCATCGGTCAAAAACCCTGTGCAAACGACACAAAACAATGCCAAAGTCTGAAACGGATATTCACAGTAGTTTCGAGCCTGGCCATTAAAAAGTCTCGTCTGCGAGTTGCCTCTCAAAACCTATACACCCCAACCCCCAACCTATTCTAAGCGTTTTACAGTTATACCCAACTTTATTCAGAGTTGATGCATATATATTTTTCATATACCCTTGCAGGGGGTATTTTGCTTCTGTTGTGAAATTTGTGAAGCTCTTTGGATACGTCTCTTAACCTGCATCACTAATTCTAAACCTATTTCATTGAAACTTGGTATTTATTCTTCTTCGATCATACATGAAATCAGAGCCGAACTCATCAGACCACTATATCATATAACAGATATAGGAACAATCAGTCATAAACATTCAAATTACTCTCTCTCTCTCTCTCTCTCTCTCTTGACTCTAGTAGGGTATATAATCTTCGGCTTGCCGATATTAACACTATTTTATTGTTTGTTTTTTTTTATTATTATTGAACTTTCAAAGGGTTGGCTCTGAACTCGCTTTTGACGTGGTAAAACAAAGCCTGGCGAGAAAAGCTAACGAATATTTTATTTATTTTTTAATAGATTTGTTTATTTGCTTGTTGGCTGGTTCAATGTATCGTTGATGGATTTTCAAAAGCTTTAAGCTTTCCGGACTATGCTGCGTATGCGCTATAATAATGATTTGATTCTATTAACATGAAATTATAAAGTAATAAGCGATAATAAACAGTACAAAATTTGCATAAATTGCATACAAAATCTGCAAATTATCAATTTTTATTAAATATCAAAATATGTCTCACTTAACTCGGAATTTAATAATTACATTTTGGGCAGCATTTTAAATTGCGATCAATATAATTGCCCAATTAATTAATAAATCATTCATTTATTAAATTATTCAATTAATAAATTATTAAGTATATATTTATGTTTGATTAGGGCAATAGAAAAAATGTTGCATTAAATTAAGGAATTACTTAAATCCTTATTTGGCCTTGGGCTGTTTAACATAGATGAACTAAAAAAGATTAGATTCTGAAAGGTTTTCATTGAGAATATTGGAAAATCACAATATAAAATCTAATAACTGATCAGCGATATATATATTCCTCAGCACGATATAGTTGAAAATCACATTTTCAAACTCGTGTGCAAGGGCATTAAATGGTCGACAAGTCTGAAATAAAATTTCTAAAAATTAAATTGGTAGTTAAATTAGTTGAGCTATTTTTGAATAAATAGTTTGATCCTTGTAAAATTTAATTTAGTTGAACAAATTTCCAATTTAGTTAAAGTGCAGACAAAAAAAGTGTGTTGAAATTGAATATTTTTGTTTGTTTTAACATAAGCTGCTTATTTACTTAAATAGAATAAATTATTACGTGCTTTACTAAGCTGTGCAAAATAAATAGAAGAGCATTCCCAAAATCAAAAAGATTATGT